TGCTAGAACAGTGTCTATTTCTTTGGTAAAATTCTCGGCTGTGTTCACATCTGGTACAGAAGTCAGTATGTCATCCATATAGCTGTCGTTTTCAATAATTTTAGCGGCTACCGGGTAGGTTTCTTCATTCACCATGGCCGTTTTTCGTAATGCAACTTGAGCCATCGCTGGGGCAGGCTTGTCACCGAACGTTACATTGATTTTCACATAGATGTCTGGTTTCTTGCGTTGGTCAAAGTCACGCCACAAGAATCTGACGACAGTAACTTTGGTATCGGTGGAGTGTTATCCCAAGTGCAGGGCGGGAAAGAACGAGTTTTGGCGTACGGAAGTAAAACGCTTAGTAAAGCGGAACGAAACTACTGTGTGACTAGGAGGAAACTTCTCGCCCTAGTGTACTTTCTCAAATATTTCCGACAGTACTTGTACGGGAGAAAAATTACTATCCGGACAGATCATGCATCGTTACGATGGCTATTGAACTTTAAAAACCCAGAGGGTCAGCTAGCCCGAGAGTTTGAGGTGATCAGTGAGTACGAGTTTACAGTGATACACCGACCCGGGGTCAAACATGGTAATGCCGATGGACTTTCGAGAAGACCATGTAAACAGTGTGGACGGGACGAAGAAGATCGACAGATGGAACTTAGTCATGCGATGCTGACTAGATTGGAACCAGAAGTACCAGAAACCGATCTCAAAATTAAACAGTTAGAGGATGAATCTACGGCTTGGGTGTACCGGGCCAAGGACGAGAACGAGGATCGACCTGTATGGGAGAATGTAGATCTGGCAAACAGAGCCTATTGGCTGCTATGGGACGTATTGGAACTTAGGAACGGTGTGCTTTGCAGGCGTTGGGAGTCCGATTGTGGCGGAAATTGTTCCTGGAGAGTAGTGGTACCCCATAACCTAAGAACGGAAATAATCAACAAAGTACATGGGGGTGTTACGAGTGGTCATCTGGGAGTCATGAAGACATTAGGGAAACTGAAACAGCGATTCTATTGGCCCAAAATGCACGAAGACGTACGGGCGTTCATCCGAAATTGCACGCCCGTGCGCTAAACGAAAAACCCCTGCACAACGTAGGAGGGCCCCTTTGCAGCAGTGGCCTGTTCGTGAGGCATTAGAGAGAGTAGCTATGGATGCCCATTTCCAATTTCAGTGCAGGGTAATAAATATGTGTTAGTCATAGGCGACTATTGGACAAAATGGATGGAGGCGTACCCGATCCCCGACCAGTCCGCTGAAACAGTGGCTAAGTGTTTTGTAGATTCGGAATGCCTCAACAATTGCATTTGGATCAGGGGTGTAATTTTGAGTCAACGGTGCTTGCCGATGTTTGTAAATTATTGGGGATACATAAAACCAGAACCACCCCATACAACCCGAAGTCAGACGGTCTAGTGGAACGTTTCAATAGAATATTATTGGACATAGTATCCATCATGCTGCAGCCTCTAGAAAACCAGAGTAAGTGGGACGATTTCCTTCCATATGCAACGTTTGCATACAGGACGACCCCACAAAAGTCCACTGGTGAAACCCCATATTTAATGATGTACGGGAGGGAGGCAACAGTACCCATAGACATGCTGGTGGGACCCGTGAACCAAGGCAATATAGAAGAAGACTTGTATCCCATCTGAAAAATCAGTTAAAGTTAGCCGGGAAACGAGCTGAGCGGGTACTGAAGAAAAGCGCGAAGAGACAGAAGAGGTTGTATGACCGGTTAGCAGGTGGTCGTGCTTTGGAGGAGGGTACATTCGTCCTCATGTACGACAGAACAAAAAGAAAAGGAATCTCTCCAAAACTAGAGAGTAGATGGCGGGGACCATACCGTATCCGCTTAGGACCTCGGGGTAGATATCGGGTGGTCCATTTTGACTTGTTAAAACGATATGAAGGGAAAGAACCAGATGGATGGCGACCGCTAGTGCACCTGGAACCCGAATTACCTGTACACAAAACTAATGACCTTGTACCCGAAATTAACGAACCTGTACCCGAAACTAATGAACATGTACCCAAAATGAATGAACCGGTATCCGAAGTTAATGAACCTGAACCCCATGCACCTGAACTTAATGAACCTAAACTCCCAGTGCCGGAACGGAATGATCCTGAAATTTCAGAACCCCACTATCTTGTACCTGATTCTCCAGTGTTTGCCGACCATGCCGTAGATGAACGGGCGTGCGATATTACCTCCCAGCCGGAACTGGTATCTGTACCTATGGCCAGATATCCTCGGAGGAAACGATACCCTCCACAGCGTTACCGATTTGTAATGGCTGTTCCCAATAATTTATGTTATTATCCTTCACAGCCATGTTCCAGTGTAAAAGGTGCAGTGCCGAATTTCGGTCGGCTTCGCCGCTCCGACGCCACAGGGAGGAGAGACACCCAAGGAATTTTGCTTGTTCATATTGCGGGGGACGATTTGAATCTAAATCCGATGTCGACCGACACGAGCACCGGAATCACCGAAAGGAAAGGAAGCCGGAAGCAGTGCCTGCCGAAATGCCCATCAAGGAAGGGGATGAGGCTAGCATCCTAGCGATGCTACCCGAGATCACCTTATCCCCAGGCTCCTCCTCCTTACTCGAGGAGATCGCCCGGGAACAACTGCCCCCTCCACCTGCCAAGGTGCGACGTGTTGCTTCCCGAGGAAAACCGGCGCTTCTCCTACCCAAGGAGAGAGACCTACTTGAGACGGCAGAAGAAGCCGAGACGACAGAAAAACCCAGGAAATCGAATAAAGACTTTAAAGAGGACATTGCCGC